AGGTAGGAAACGTCTGTTGGCTGTGGGCAAATGTGCTATTCAATACAATGCAAGAACGATCAATGTAGAATTTATAAGGACAAATAAGTAAAAAATCCTGGTGAAATGCCTTGCTAAACAATCGCTGAACCAGCCTAATAAATTTTTGAGAGGAGCCAATCCTTATTTGTTACATTTTTAACGATATTTTTAACGAAGCGGACTCTTCTCGTTAAATTTTCATTGAAATTTGTCATATTTTTAAGAAGATAAAATATTCTAAACTTGCCTTATTTGACAATTTACTATTTGGAGTTCAATAGCTGGCAAAACATTGTGCTTTCGACCTTAAATTGTTAGAATCATTCGATTGTCACTACTGTAAACAATGCCATGTGCCCCAGAAATTTAGACCTTTCTCGACTCCCCCACTAAAGAGCGGTAGTAAGTTAGATAACTGTGAGGTACTTATTGGTACTCGCGATATCACGTATTGGTGATGCATAAAAGATAATACATTTTTGGTGCAAAATCAACCTTTCCCAGGCCCACCTCCCCCACTTTCCACCCTCAATTCTTGAGAATTGAGTAGAACAATTAAGGTATTAATACTACTCAATCATATGACCTCATTTTGCTGGGAGTTTTAAATTGTTTTGTCTTATGATATAGTACAAATAATTGGAAGTCACACAATCATTATTTTAACAAAGAATTTTTATCCCTCTGCCTTTTAAGAAAATGTTTAAAGCAGTCAAATGGTTTTTTTTCTTCCCAAAATCAGAATGCATTTTTGCAAAAAAATAAAAATTGAAAAATATTGTAATGGAAGTTTTCTCGAATTGAGTTGATCCTTCTTTATAACTAGCATTAATGCCATGTATACATATAGAACCGTATGTTTCAGGAAAATGTATTTACCCCCCACAAAGATTTTAAAGTAAATTAGCTTTGCAGGGATTTTAAATGAAGTTACTCTCATTGTATTTTCTGATATATACCCCATACAATCTGTGTGGGAATTCAAGGAAAAGAAGGGATTGGTTTTTAAAAACTAACATAACAATTTGATTAAAAAAATCTCTCCTGCAGTCATCACTGGTCATGTTGAGATTTTATAGTTTAAATAAACCCCAATCCTGGTATGTACAGTTTTAATTTTGTGCTTTAATTGTAAGAGCTAGTAATGTAAAACAGGTTATTTTTGCAAACAACAGAAAAGTGCATGGACATTTAAAATTACTGTTAGGGTAATATTTTTCAAGAAATTATTAATAAGATGAATTACTTTTCAGTGACTCCTCATTTTATTATAATTCTATTTAATTTATATCAACAAAAATGATTTGTAGCATTGCCATGACTATCATTATTAATAAAAAAAAATTAGATGGTTGCAAGATTGCTAAAATTCCCATTATTATATATGATGATACACACATGATTTGAGTTTTGTTGAAAAAATAAGGAAATTATTGTAAATTAAGAAATATATATTTAGTTGATATAAGGGAGATAAGCCTTGCTAAAAGACATGTACTAAGAGCACCTGTTCTGTCCTTGAAATGAATCCATTCCTAAAGGAACATGTTTGTAACCTTAAGAATGTCAAGATATAATGTTCTGCACTGAGAGACAGCACCAGGAATGCTATAGATCTTCATAGGAAATCAAAAGTTCTTCATTTTATAAGCAATCTTATGTTGATTATTTTGTATGGATGTTAAGGTTGCTACAGCTTTGAAGGTAATCAGCTGTTTCAAGGTTATCTTGGGGTTTTGGGATTATGGAGCAATTACTGTTATGCTAGCAGTATCTATAGAATTATTGTTTTGTGATAATTCAGTGCTACTTCAAAGATGTTCTAGTAAATAAGAAGCCATCAGCTTTATCATGCATTGAAGACATTATTTTGGATGCCAAGGACAAACAATGGGGCAAAGATTTAGAATAATCAGAGCTGTTTCATAATTAGCATGTGAAATTAGAAAATTTCTAAACATTATTCTCTAAAAGTCCAAATGCTGAAATAAAGTCTGTATTGCATGTAGTGCAAAAGAAGTGTGTTTGCATTCTCTTGTTTTAAGTTTAACACATTCAGAATATATCAGGTGTGTTTTTGTCCTGTTTGGTTTATATGTTGTCTTTTATGAGGTGTTAGTTCATTAGCATTGATTAAATGATCTCTAGATCATAAAAGAACCCCCTGTTTCTCTCTCAGTCGTAAAGTGTATGCATAGTGCAAAGAAAGTGAACTGTGTCATTCATTGATTTGTTGAGGTGAAGGTGTGTTTTTTTTACCTGGGCCTTTGATGTGTTATTGATGAGAAGTCTTCCTATGTAGACGGGGCTTGTTGTTTACATTTCTATCCCAGGAAAGCTAGGCATTGTACTGGATTTTTTTTGGTCGTAACTCATGACCGGCTCAGGATGCTGCAGGCTAGTACCAAGGCCAAGGTGATGGACAACATTGGTCATCCATCCATAGGTACGGTGTTCAGCACAGGTAACAGTGGGACAGGTAACTCAGGTAGCTGTTCACAGGTGGGCAGAGTCAACTATAAAAGTAAATCTAGAGGTTTTACTGGCTTGGAAAATCAAGATAATAGTGCAAATGAAGTTAAAGATTTAGAAAGTTTAGTGACGGCTTTGTCAGTGATGTGTTTCTTTTGCACAGGCTTTAAAATAGACTTTACTGAGTAGGATCAAAACACCATAAATTAAACACCCAGATCCAAGGGTTTTGGTTAGCTGGACTGGGTGAACCTGTATTAACTATAATGAACTATCTAAAATGATTTTAACTGAAAGAAAAACCACAAAAGGATCCCTGTTTAGGACCTTCTTTGTCATTTTAAGGTCAGCACTGAAAAATCCAAGGACAAAGAGTTTGAATGACAAAAGCATATATTTTTAATTGTCATTGTGACTGACATCTTTTAGTTTGTGGGTTAGGTTAACTTCCCGTATCTTTTATGATTTATTTTGTCTGTGGCTTCTGAGTTTGCTATAGGTAAATTGGTGTATGATGGTTACTGGTAATATATATTATGGTACATGTATTATACTGGTTTCTTGCCTCTTACTGTCTGTTATTGTTTGTAGAGCACAATTCGTCTTTGATGGAAGCTAGTACATATTAGCCCCTGGGATTCAATATTGGTTGTTTTCATCTGTTTCTAGTGGTATATTGTATCTAATTGGATGTTTGTTGGCAAGTTTTTCTGTTGGATAAAAACCCTCACAAATACAAGTTGGTCACAGTGTATTGCAACTAAAACCTTTATTGTACAGCTTCATCAAAGATTACATTAGCCTTTCATCTGTGGCTGAATTACTTTCTCTATGCTGCAACACCTGCTGTCAAACTTCTTGCATATTGCAGCAGGTGGCTTATGTACATGTTTTGCAATGATATTCAAACTTAAGTTCATTTATATACATTCTTTCAATCTTTGATATTTATTTTTTCCCTCTGTGTAGCTTTTGTTGGAAATGGAAACTGATGCCATGGTATCAAAAGGTGATGCAAAGGGATTTTTTTCAAACTATTTTGGTTCTTGATAATGAAGTAAAAAAAAGGTCTATGTGTTTGTTTTTCCCTTAATGAATTACCAAACCAGTATTGAAACAAAAGGTTAGAGTACAGTTACAAGTTATAGACATGACTGAGCAAAAACTAATATTTCCGTTTCTTGCACTATTTTTTTTTACCTTCAGTCATTTAATGTGGTCTACTTATTAGTGTTTTTAATCCATTTTTCTCCTTTTTTGCAGATTCCCAGTCTCTGTCCTTGACATCGGATTCAGAAGAGGATGTTCTGAGTAGCACGTCCCATTCTGGTAAGTTCCTTCATTGTTGTACCCTTTCCTCTCCCTTCTCTTTCTCCAGGTGCTTATATTCAGCAATAAGATGTCAAAGTTGTTTTTGGAAATGCCAGGACGTAAAGATTAAATTGTTTACCAGATGTTACCAGGGAAGTTATTTACAGTATTTTGTTCTTTGACTTCTCTCTAGCTTTTTGTCACTTTTCTTTATATACAGATCTTTAGTGTGTGTATCCTAAGCATTGTCTGTTCTGTCATCTTGCTTGCGGAGGTCATACCATCTTTCTGTGAGACCTTTTCCATAACACAAATTGATTTACTTTGCCACATTGGTTAAGGATGTTATTCAGCATCAGTATTGAGACTTAGCTTTTGCAATGGCAGGTTCATTACAAAGCTCTTCTTGTTTATTCTGTGTAGATGTTTAGTTCAGTAAGCATTTGATTTGTATTAATTTTTGTGTTGCAACAATGGAAACCTTTAGTCTTGATAGAAGGAAGAAATACAGTAACAAATCAGTATTAAACTACATTGTAGTCCTTTATGAGGAAATTTTAATTTCTCAGAATTAATATCCATCTGTGCCCGTTAATCAGCTGTTCTCCTCTCCCCTTGTTAGTCTCCACAGCTACTCTGTCTGAGGTGAACTGTGGATCACAATAGTACAGAACTCCAAAGACTTACAGATGAATGTATCTTAGACTGTGTTAATGGAGTAATTGGCTGTGTCTTTATATTGGTGCTCCCTCTACTGCATGTGTATCCAGATATTGGACACTTTGTCTGCAGGCTATATTTATCATAATAATATATGACTGCATTATGACTGAGGACTTTGACCTTGTGAGACATGGATGAGTCCATGACAAGGAAATGATGGATGTTCGATGGCCTAATTTAGGACTGTGATCAATTAATGAACTTTTTATGTTACTTCATTAATAGCTACTCTATATGCTTATAGTGAACAGAAGCTTTTATGCCTTAATTAATTAGCAAAAAAGGGCATGTCTTGCTTGCTATATAAGGATGCTTTTAGCATATTAATCCATTAAACTCTGTGACAAGAAATTAATTAAGCTGGTAAAACAACATCGAAATCGATGAAGTAAACACATTATTTATAGCTTGAGAAAATTTTCTCAAGTATTTAAAGTAGCATTACACATAAGTAAATCTGCCTTACTAAACATTATGATCATAGAGTGTTAATCGGAAGTCACTAGTGCTGAAAATCCTTCTACAACAAAAAAGAAGAAAAAGGAGATTAATTTAATAACACTCAGAATATTGCATGATTAATTCAATAACTCCCAAGCCATTACATGATCTTTTTCTCTGTGAACTCTCGGGAGACCCTCTCGTTAAATGTGGGTTAATTGTGTTCCATGATACAATCCCCGTTATCCAGCTTTTGATCACAGTCAGTTTCATGTATGACCCCTGTGACCTTTGAGAATAAACAACAGCAGCAGCTTTGTAGATATCCCAGAGTTCCTCAGCATATGGCCAATCACTCAGAGTGAAGCTGGTGGATGTGCGTGTGTTTTTCTCAGCACAAAAAAATACTTCACTGCCATGTTTAACTTGAAGCTTGGCAGAGGAAAGCATGAAGTGTTCTTGATTTTGGGGTTGTTTTAGTGACAAATCTTCAGGTTTGATATCATGCAAGGATTACGGCACCACAGTGCTGCTAGTCCTAGACCGCGGGTTAAATATGGCTTAACAGTTGGAACTGTAGGACATCACTTGGGTAAGTGTTGTGTTCTACGTCAAATTTAGAAAATTTCTTTGAGTTAGAATTCTTTTTCATTTCTGTATGAATTTAACACTTCAAATTTGCCAGAAGTTCAAATGTTCAAGGTCCAAATGTTTTGAGTCAGCTCTATATTCAATGTCTGCTTTGGTGCTAGAGGTGAAATTTGAGTCAGGAACTGAGAAGTTTTCGGAAATGATCAGCCAAAATCTTGGGCCATCTGCTGCGTGGAGAGAGATGTGCAGGTGTCTTGCAGTTTTTGACCTGGGTCAGATTGAAAGCATGTTTTTGGGTCTGTTTACATCTGAAGTTTTCACTGCTAATCAGGCTCAGATCTCCCATGCTGAGCTTGTGAATTGTGTGAAATTCCCATGAATCAAATCTCATGAATTAGTGAGCTTCAATTTTCTGTATGACTGACCTTATACCTTATGCATGTTTGTACTTTTTTTTCAGTTTCTTCAATGGTTTATTATCAGTATTGGCTGATATGAGGTTTCATGATTGAGGAAATTGGTTAAGGGGGCATAAATTGTAACCTCATGTTTCGGATATATATGAATTATAGAGAGTTAATATGAGTTGTTAGATTCAAGTAAAATTAACTCGACTCCTGCAGACAACTATTCTAGATAAAAGAGGTTACAGAGGAAGTTCAGGCAAAAAAATCAAATTGTTTTAATACGTTTATGGGTTTCTTTTTAATGACATTGAATGTATATGCAATTTATCATAATTTGTGTGTAAGAATTTTTTGTTGTTATGTTTCAGAAAATAGATCCCAGGATTTGGACCCAGCTACTCCACAAACCTACACCAGAATTATTCCATCTGATGAATATGACTACGAATTAACCTACAAAAAAGATGATGGACATAACAAATCAAAAACATCCATAGATAAAGGAAAACGCGGGATAAATGGAGAAAGTCGAACAAGTGACTGGCACCACGAATACAACAGACTAAAAGCCCAGTGTGAGCGAGCCATGAGTGAGGTACAGTCACTCAAGAGGTCTCAAGAGGAGACAATTCGTAGGTGTGAGCAAGCAATGCGAGAGTCCGAGTCGAATCGACAGAGGTACAAGGCAACTCTCGGAAATCTCCAACAGTCCAAAGAGGAAATTGAACATTTACATTCAGAAATTAAAAAGTTAGAGTCTGAGAAAGAGATCTTAGAGCAGGACTTACTGAATTACAGAAATCTGCAGGATGAGGATAAGCAGGAGATAGCCGATTTACACAAACAGTTACGGACAGTTATTTCTGAGAAAGGGTCGACTGACGGAATTGCAAGGATTTACGAGGAAACTTTGAAAAAGTATGAAGTGTTAAAGGAGGACCATGATCTACATAGGAAAGAATACACAGAAATTTTCACAAAACACAATGAACTGCTGGCTAAATTTGGTCTTTGTAAGGATGAAAATCTAAAACTACTGAAACAGAATGAAGCATTGACAAGGGAAAGGGATAACTTAAATGTGGACAGGAATATTTACAAACAACAGTGTACATCTGCAATCAGGGACCTGGCCAAAGTGACACAGCAGCGGGATGAAATGATGAAGGATTCAAATCATTTACTTTCCATTCAAAAACAAAAGTTTGAGGCAGTGGCAAAAGAAAGAGATGCTGCAAGAAATGAATACAATCTTGTTTGGGCAGAAAGGGACAGTGTTCACAAAGAAATTAACCAGCTTCAGGACAAGTTGAATGAAGTGACACAGAAAAATCAGGCTTTAGAAATGGAGAAGAAGAAGTCTGAAGAGGGACTGGAGATGTTAAGACGAGAGCTTCTGACGGCAATACAGCAGAAAGAGGAAGCCCAGAAAGCTCTGGACGATGCACAGAAAAGGTACGGTGATGTTAAGTCTAAAAACGATGATCTAGAAAATCAGCGAGATGATTTTAGAAAGGATTATGTGATGGTGACACAAGAAAGGGACATTGCTCGCAAAGAAAGACATGAAGCAATTAAAGATCGTGATCGGATATTGCGAGAAACCTATGAAAGGGAGAGAACTCAGAAGGAACAGGCAGAGGAGATTGACCAAGTTTCCAAAGAAACCGAGGCCCTGAAAAAGATCATTGAGAAGTTACAGCATGACTTGACAGGTAAGAACTTTTTATGTGGTATAGATCTAAATTAAATCCTAAGGTTAAGTCTTTGAATCAACAAACACAGGTATTGTTACCAAATGATACAAACCAAACACATTCTGTTCACAAACATTGGTTTTCAGCTCAGGGTAATCTGTTGGTAACTTGTTTGTTTGTCTTTGAAGGTAATCAGTTTTTCCCGTAAACAAGAAAAAGCAATTACAAGATAGTTTAGAAAATACACCACGACTTTGAGACTAAATTAATCATAGCTGTACTGCTAAAAACATTCAAAATTAGCAGAAACTGGGAAAAAAGGGAACTAATTGAAATCACCAGTTTCTAGATTTGATCCTAAATTACCCCAATTTCCTGCCGTAATATTGTCAGATTTGTTTTACACTTCAGTGTTAAATGGATTGTATCCTTTATATAAAAGTCTACAGCGTTACATACCCCAATAAAGAGATGAGTGCACACAGACTAAATATTGAACCAAACTGGAGACAGACAAATTATGAGATAGACATTTGGTCAACAGACAAAAACAATTGACCTATAAATTATATGGTTCTGCTAAGGTTATCACAGAATGGTCACAGGTTTGTATGTGGTTTTGGTATAAGCCTGTTTATATTAACAGAAGATGAAAACAGCAGCCATTGCTGCTCAACCTATTCCCATTAATTTGGTCTGTGACTCACTTCTGCTTAGAGATAAACTATTTTACAGCACCCAATTTGTGTCATTCAGGTTTTTAGGTGATAAGATTTTCTGCCATTTTACAATGTGAGTGCAGACTTTATCACAAGATACACAGAGAAGAGCTTTAATGACATATCAGATAGTTGCTCAAAGTTGACACTGTGAGCGTGCTTCAGAAGTCTAGCAAGTTTCACCATATGGTTTAACTTTTCAGCTTTTTTGATTAAAAAAAAATTGTATAATCTTGTTTCCAGTTCTGAAGGGGTAATGTTGCACAATATCACCGAAAAATATACATGGGAATGAATCGCCCAGTGGAACCTGCCAAGTCATGTCTGTTTAGCTGCTTTGTACTTACTTTCAGTTTCAACATAAACTTGGGCAGAGTCCAAAATTTATATTTTATTGATTGATAAATACCTATTAAATATCAGAAAATCTGGAACACATCAGAGTGGAGTAAAAACAAGCACACAAAATGAAATGCACTCAGTGTTTGTCAAGGCCCTCATACCAAGAAAAACAATTGAGTGCTCTCTTTACCCATAATGTCTCAATATTAGATAAACAAATTCATTAATTTTTTAGTGGCAGATTAGTGGTCTGGAGGAAAGATTTGTCTTTCAGAGCTGGGTTCAAACATTAAAAGTGCCAAGACCTGGTTTTCGTGTTAGCCAGGAAAAAGTTGGTGATGAGGGCCTGATTTTGAGTGTACTTAACATTCAGTTTCCTCTATAGATGATATCAGCTGATGAGAGGTTGCCTGGTTAGGGGTTTACCTGATGTTAAAGTAGTTGATGTGTATCTTCTTCCTACAGCCTTATAGACCAAAATAAATAATGTGGTTTTTGTGTCAAGAGGGGGGATGAATTTGGTGATAGGTCATAATACTTACTGTATAGGTCAGTTATATATGTTCCTTTCCCCTGAACTGTAGTGTTAGAACCAATTTAGGCTCGTAGGGGGGAAAAAAGAGTCATCAGATGTTTTTATTAAGGGGGCACAAGCATATAGTAGCTAAGTTTTCTATAGTACTAGACTACTAGTGTTCTATATATTGGAAAAATTACCCCCCCCCCCCCCCCCCCCCCTTTGTGGTTCCTATGGCCATGCAATTTTAGCCAAAGGATACTTGTATGTAGAATTACATTATTATCATAGTCTTTACCCTACTGGAGGTTTTGTGATCCAAACCATAAAATTAAATAGTTGGTCACACATTAAAAAATTCATAATCTTTACTCATATAATCGAACAGTCAAACAATATGATTATGAAGATGCCATGTGCTGACTCCTCCAAAATTGTGAAATTTGTAGCCTAAAGTTTACATCACAGAATGAATAGGCTGCATATGATGTTACCATGCTAGGTGACGGTTTGGTTAGTCATTTTTTACTCCTATGCCCTGTTCTTATTTATGTGCATTAAATTTAAATTTTACTTTGCATTTAGTTAATGAGAATTAAATGATGTAAATTACACAGTGTTCATATATACATATACTAGTTCAATTATTGAATTAATGCAAAGCAGTCTCCTTTTTTAAAAACTTAAATATAGTGTCCTAAGTATAATTTCATCTGAATTTTCTGAATCAGTAACTAAAATTTTGTATAATCTATTTCAGTATGCTTAATTTCATTTCCAGTAAGAAGCTATAAGTACTGATTGTTGTGTATTTTTATAAATGTGTATATATAAATCCAGAGCATAAGAAAATGGGTTTCTTTATCCGAACTGATCTAAACTGATCAAACTAAGGATATTTAAGATATATTAGGTAACACATTTATTCAATCAGTGACCCCATATTCCAATTTTCTTTGAGCATGAAAGCTTCTCTAATAGAGGAAGAAGCCATTATCATTAGAATATAAGGATAATATTCTCAGCAGCCCCAGTATATAGAGGATTATTGCTAGGTTCTGAACCTCGCCACAGTTCAGCGTAAAAACAGCCAGGCTGTTTCCTGACTAGGGGCAGGTGTTATATTTTCAGTATGGATATGTTTACACGATCTACCTGGCAGTGCATAACGATGTGAATTTATTAATAAAGCTGCACCATCATTTTTATCCTATACACATACTGTGCATGATTTCAGATTCAGAAATTTTCCATTTTCAAAACTAATGAGAAATTAAAAAAGTTCAGCAAGTTCAATGAAATAAAAATTGACATTTTTTGAAACATCTCTAATCAGATTTCTGTTTGAATTTTATTAGGACCACACAGAGTAATGCAGTCATAAATTTTAGCTTTATTTTTTTTTGTGAGAAAGATTTTTTCGGATAATTTTCTTATTTGTTGAACATGTACTTTAGAATAGTACTTGATATAGTAAATGCCTGTGGAAATCAGAAATATGAATGCAAATTTTATCCTGGTAAATGTTTTCTCTTTTTTTACAGATGCTAAAACGGAGGCTGATAAATCTAAGAAGAATCGGGACTGGGCACTCGGTGAACGCGACAAGATAGTACAGGAAAGAGAGGGGATCCGGTCCCTGTGTGAGAGCCTGAGGCACCAGAGGGATAGAGCCGTTAGCGACAAAGCTCAGGCCCTGAGGGACTATGACAACATCAAGAAAGAAAAAATGGAGGCCTGCAAAGAGCTCAAAGAAATCAGGTACATAAGTCCTTACTCCTCATAATGCAGTCATAGAATGGCATCCTAAATTACAAGCAATTATGGAGAAATTGAAAATGTGCTATGTATTGATACTGGATTTTAAATTCTCGTAGATAAAAGTGAATGAACATAATTAATTTTACATTGTGTATTGGATATGAAGGGAAGAAAAAATAAATAGACATTTGAATGAATAATCTGAATTTGCACTAATGGTTTTGGAACTGAATTCCCTTTGAGAAGGTTTGTTCGAGGAAGTAATTCTCTTGTCATTGAAATCATTGCTGTTGTTTTGAAATTTAAGTGTGTTTGTGTGCGGGCTTGTATTCTTGAGAAAATCAAACAAAACTCATTCCTTTTGTACCAGTTAGTCAAAAAGAAGTGAAAGAAATAGAAATATGTTAATTTCAAATCACATCAAAATGTCATGTTTGATTATTCATCTGATTGAGTTGCATTGATAGTTAGCTCACAACACAATTTAGGGCAATGAATGATTGGATGAGAAGAGTGCACATGACATAGAAGATAAATATGTCTGTTCACACTGTACTGCACAATGATCTGTCTGCATTACTCTGGTCTTGGTTCAGGGGCAATATCTCAGATTTTGTGAGGAGATTAAGGTGAACCTAGAGGCTGATGCAGTCACAGAGAGTGCACCAGGTTTAATGATATAGAAAACAAAGATGAGAAATCGGGAAGGAAATTTTTTGGCTTCATGAATCACAAATTTTTATTGTCAGTCTGTTTTTTGCCCGTTAATGTATATATGACAACCTTCTAAACCCCATACAGCGTCTTGATGTTACTCGAGCATTTTATTGACAGAAACTTTGCCAAGATTTTGATGCTGGAAAAATCGGCTGGATTTAGGTTTAAACCTTTTATTAAGGTGAAAAAATGGACAAGAGAGATAAGAGCACAATATTTTCATTTTTACATCATCTAAACTTTGCTGATTACTAGAGTTACTGCAGGATTAGAATTAGACCTCAGGAATTGTAAAAAGTGACCTTGAAAACTCGGAAATATTGTCAGTTTAACATTCCGAGTCAGTTTTACATTCAGAGTTGTCTGATCAATATGGATATCTAAGATTGCTACAAATTATGAATATTTTATCCGACATGATGTTGTAAGTCTGAAAGTCATAACAACCAAAAATTCTAGAGATTATTCATTTTTCATTATCTGCAGCTAATGTAATTTTGTGTGTTACGTACAGTACTGTCCATCTGTTTTGTTTAATAAAGTAAATGTAACTTGTACATTTCTTTAGATAGATGAAAAAGAATATCAAAAGAAATGTACAAGTTACATTTAATTTATTAAACAAAACAGATGGACAGTACTAGATAGATTTATTATAGATAGATAGATAGTATATTAGATAGATGAAAAAGAATATCAAAAGTCTTGAATAATTTAAATATTTAAGTTCCCAATAAATACTCACACACATTGATTGGGCTGAATTAAACAATTTTTTTATTCATAGGGAAAAATATGAGACCATAATGGAGAAAGAGGCCAGAAAGAACCAACTGAATGGTGTGGGGCACAACCACAGTCGTGACTCTGCCATTGATGCTGACTTACAGGAACTGGAGACGGAGACCGTACAGGTGGATATTGTAAGTAAAGGGGTGGAAGTAATTATTTCAGGGGTCGATTAATGACAGATGGATTTGAATATAAGGAAGTGGGGAGGGGGAACAAAGTCAAGCAGTAAAAGAGTAATTGATAATCCAGTTATAAAGTTTTAAAGAAACCTCTCCTCCTCCCATAAAATACAATGTGAAAAGTCTATCAGTTTGTGAATATCACATAAGATAGGCTTTATAGCATAAAGAAGCAGTAGAATACAAGTTGAATGTACTTTATGGGAATGAAGTGTTGATGCCTCAAATCAGTTATGTTTTGACTAGCAATTAACTCTCTACTTTGTCTTAGACTATTTTGTCTGGGAATGAAGTGCAGGAATAGTTGACCAGTTAATTTCCTTTAATTAATCAACCTACTTTACCAATTATAAGATTTTTTTGAAAGCCTGTCTTTGTAAATTCCCATGAGAATGTTGAGGTGTGATTAGCAATTAAGAATAAAAACAAGGGATTTAAAAGCAAACTCCTTGTTGAGGTTCAAGATCAAAAATTTAATGAGATACTACTTAGATTGGATAATCTACAAGAAAGATGCATGTATATCTGTGTGAACTTTGACCCCAGCTACCATTTCTCTATGTGCCAGAGCAGCTGAGGTCTACAATTAACTGAAATCTGTAACCATGATGTTCGGAGATAATAGGATTTCATGCCAGGCTCTGAAGCCATTGGTTCACCAAAACAGCTTCATGTGAAAAAAAAACTGTTTAATTCGTAAATCTAGATGCTGTAATATAAAATACTAACTTGTGCCAATTTCTGTCTGCGGGACCTGCTGTTTAATAAAGATAAAGTGATGAAACATTTTGATTTACTATTTTGTGCCTGTGCTTTTATATCTTTTAGAGCTTTGTAAACAAAGAGCATTTTTATCAGATGATTTTTTTTATTGGATTAACAGATTCAGAACAAAATCTGTAAGAATACTTTAAATATGAATTTAAGATTATGTGACCAAAGAGGAGGAAAAAAAACACTATTAAATAGTGATTAGTTGATAGTTCATGGAAAAGAGCAATTAGTTTAGATCATAGATGTTACTAAAAAAGTTCTAAACATATTTTGTTCAATATTTCAAAAAAAAAAAATAACTGTTGAAAAAAGATTAAACTCAGTGTGTGGTAATAATTTTGTGAAAATACTGTTTTAAAGAGATATTTATGTGTTAAAATTTTGTATATATAATGAATTTAATATTTTGTAAACAATTACAGAGAGGCCTGACTCCTGACAACCTCGGCTTTGACATAGTGGGAGGGAAGGATGACCCTGTGCTTCCAAATGATTACGCAGTATATGTCAACCATATTGTCAAAGGAAGTGTAGCAGACGGCAAACTCAAGTAAGCTATCACAGAAAACCAAGCTGTCATGTCCAAATTACACCTTACTTTTTCCCCTATAAAACCCTTTTTTTATTTTGAGGAATGCCTGATACATGCCGTAATGGGCTTTCACATAATTATCTCTTAAAAAAAGAATTATCACTTTCAAAGTTTGTTTATGGATCATTATTTACCTCGTAGTGTTTGTGATTTTTTTCCATGCATTTAATAATTTTTCCCTGTTGTGCAATTTCATATTATGTCATATAAAAAGAATCTCGATTTTACATTTTAATTGTGTCACAATTCACTAGACTGGAAAAAATAAATATTTCCAAGTTATGTACTAACGACAAATTTCTTAAAATCTTTTTCTAGGATCAGCGATGTGGTGTTGAAGATCAATAACATGGATGTGACAAATGTGGACAAACGAACAGTTCTACAGTCACTGAAGAATTCATCCCAAGTGTCATTGGTAAGAGATTACGAGAAATTGATATCTAGTCTTTTTTGAGACTGATTTAATGTCTAGTGACTTTTAAGGTAATAGATTTGATTGTTAATTGAGAGATTTATGTTTTTGGGTATATTTCAGCTGGTTAGAAGAAGGCGCTGTGTAACACCCAGAATTTGGCAGCCAATTCAGCTTAGTTTATCATTGGGAAAGGGTGAGTGTTAACTTCTCATTTCAAGAGCACACAAATTTTATTTTTAGCTCACCTGAGCCGAAGGCTCAAGTGAGCTTTTCTGATCACATTTTGTCCGGCGTCCGTCTGTCTGTCTGTCCGTCTGTCTGTCTGTCTGTAAACTTTTCACATTTTCGACTTCTTCTCAAGAACCGCTGGGCCAATTTCAACCAAACTTGGTACAAAGTATCCTTGGGGGAAGGGGATTCAAGTTTGTTCAAATGAAGGGCCACGCCCTCATTCAAGGGGAGATAATTGGGAATTAATGAAAATTTGGTGGCATATTTTAAAAATCTTCTTCTCAAGAACCACTGTGCCAGGAAAGATGAAACTTATGGGGAAACATCCTCAGGTAGTGTAGATTCAAGTTTGTTCAAATCATGACCCCCGGGGGTAGGGCGGGGCCAAAATGGCCGACCAAAGTTTAACATAGAAATATATAGGAAAATTCTTTAAAAATCTTCTTCTCAAGAATGACAAAGCCATAATTCATCATATTTATATGGGAGCATGCTCAGGTAGTGTAGATTCAAGTTTGTTCAAATCATGTCCCCCGGGGGTAGGGCGGGGCCAAAATGGCCAACCAAAGTTTTACATAGAAATATATAGGTAAATTCTTTAAAAATCTTCTTCTCAAGAATGACAAAGCCATAATTCATCATATTTACATGGAAGCATGTTCAGGTAGTGTAGATTCAAGTTTGTTCAAATCATGACCCCTGGGGGTAGGGCGGGGCCAAAATGGCCAACCAAAGTTTTACATAGAAATATATAGGAAAATTCTTTAAAAATCTTCTTCTCAAGAATGACAAAGCCATAATTCATCATATTTATATGGGAGCATGCTCAGGTAGTGTAGATTCAAGTTTGTTAAAATCATGTCCCCCGGGGGTAGGGCGGGGCCAAAATGGCCGACCAAAGTTTAACATAGAAATATATAGGAAAATTCTTTAAAAATCTTCTTCTCAAGAATGACAAAGCCATAATTCATCATATTTACATGGAAGCATGTTCAGGTAGTGTAGATTCAAGTTTGTTCAAATCATGACCCCTGGGGGTAGGGCGGGGCCAAAATGGCCAACCAAAGTTTTACATAGAAATATATAGGAAAATTCTTTAAAAATCTTCTTCTCAAGAAGGACAAAGCCATAATTCATCATATATATATGGAAGCATGCTCAGGTAGTGTACGTAGTTTCAAGTTTGTTCAAATCATGACCCCCCGGGGTAGGGCGGGGCCAAAATGGCCAACCAAAATTTAACATAGAAATATATAGGAAAATTCTTTAAAAATCTTCTTCTCAAGAATGACAAAGCCATAATTCATCAAATTTATATGGGAGCATGCTCAGGTAGTGTAGATTCAAGTTTGTTAAAATCATGACCCCTAGGGGTAGGGCGGGGCCAAAATGGCTGACAAAGTTTTACATAGAAAGAGGAAATATCTTTAAACATCTTCTTCTCAAGAATGACAAAGCCATAATTCATATTTTTATGGAAGCATGCTCAAGTAGTGTAGATTCAATTTTGTTCAAATCATGACCCCATGGGGTAGGGCGGGGTCAAAATGGCTGACCAAAGTTTTTAAAGATATATATAGGAAAATTCTTTAAAAATCATTTTCTAAAAATAGCAAATCCATGATTTGTCATGGGACTACTTTTGGATTTAAACTTTACAATAGAAAGCCATTTTCTACTATTTCCTACCCTTAGTGCTCAGGTGAGCGATGTGGCCCATGGGCCTCTTGTTGCTAATGCTGATGTACAGGGTAATACTAAGAAGAGATTTCTGAATTAAGTATTTAATTTTTATACTGTTACACTGAAAATAGGAGTAGATGGCATGATGAATAATAATGTTTTGGATTTTTTGTAGATATGGGTATATTCATTGAGCAAGGATTGTACATAGCTCGTATTGTCCCTGGATCTACTATTGCCAAGGAAGGCATGCTATCCACAGGGGACAGAATCATCTGTGTAAGTAGGATACAGCAAGCAACTATTGCATTATAAATGGTAAAGGCAAATGACTTAAGAAATGTTTTTTTTTAATTTAGGAAAACATAATCCCTTAAGATACACCTAATCTATAATTCAGAAAAAGATTAACATATTGAATTCACTTCTCGGGTTCATGACACTTCGTAATTGATTTTTTCACAGGTTAACGGTACATCAGTGGAGAATCTTACTCCAGCTGAACTGATGAAGCTCCTTCAGGGATGTTCTGACCCTGTGTCCATTGAAGTGTGGAGACAGATGTCACCTTTCAACTCTGCAGGCTCCTCCCCAATCCCTGTCAATCATAAGGAAACTTGTCAGGACTCTGGTGCTCAGCTCTCACAAGCATTCACAAAAAATGAGGACTTAAAACATAATGTATGGGACGGAAGTGATACATTGGAGAATCCCAAAAATTCTGGCAAGGTCAAAACCAGCAGTTCTCAAACAGACAATTTGAACAGTAGTCCAGGATCAAATGACTGGACTGTGAAGGGCTCCAAAAGTGAAAAAGATCTGGACAACCATAAATCTAAAAATAGTCACAGACTTGAAAAAGCTCTTGGAAAGATTTTTAAGCCCAAATCGAAACACCATGATCGACACGACCATGATGACATAAGTAAAAGACATACTTCTACTAGACCTACTTCAACCATAAATGACAATGTGCTTCTTGAATTCAGCTTGGCAGACCAAAATGGAAATCATGGAACAGGACACAGAAAAAATGTTCAAAAACGTGAATTTGACAATGAAAACAGTGGAACGTGGCCAAAATGTTACAAAATGCAGCCAATGAAACAAGGGACTGTTATGATGCCCTCACCACAGAAGTACCCAGAGAGACCATCAATAACAAACTTCTTCATAAAGGGGCCTGAGAAAATCCCCCCCACTCCCCCCGAGAGGACCGAGGCTTCACATATAGCAGTGAAACAGAGTCCTCATCACAGTCCACAGAGCAGTGACTCTACAATCAAACAGTCCAACTCCCCAATACATTCTCCCCCCATAAGTACCAAATCAGCGTCATATCTACACAGTAATAACTCCAGTTTACATCCCAATCCCGCTCCTTTTGTGTTTAATCCTGACAATGCCATTCCAAATAACTATGGTGTTAAGCACCTACCACCTAAGACAAAGAAACGCCCTCCCTCTAGTCACCATAACCATTATGATGCCCCCAATATTCCTCCAAGAGAGGCATGGGAGCTTAGTAGAGCACGAAATCGCACGAGATCTGCAGAAAAGGACAGGCCACATTGGCACAGTGCTAACTTGTCTCCGTTCAATCCTTCTAGTCAGTTTCATTCCTCTAATGACTCCTCTGTGAGTGGGACAGGACTGCCTACAGGAGAATACCAGCCCGGGCAGTCCATGTTTCCAAGTGATTTCTCAGCATTTAATTCTCCACCACCATTTCATGAAAGGCCCATTGGACATGGCTACAGAATGTCACATAACAGGTAAACCCTAAATTTAATTTATTTGCATTGGTTAAGATTTGAGTCCTAATGAATCATAGAAAATGAATGCAAGAAATATTATTTTAAAAAGCCAAAAGTGGAGATGTAATTTTCATTCACCATTTATATGATTATGACAATTTACGCAACATTTTAGAATTTTGAAGAGTGCCATGTATATGTATTTTTTTTTCAGTGGTGGTTCCTCTTTGGTTGTGAGACCCAACCCTCATTATAATTCAGTCCATGGCAGCCAGACAAGTGCCCCTGTGGCTGTTAGCCCCTCCTTCTCCCCGAGTTATAACTCCCCCCAGGGTTCATTTCCAGACATAGAGCCCCGGCGATCTCCCTTTGACTACTGTAATTCCCCTTGTCCTTCAGTCATTAGCTCTACCAGTGATCCGTATAGCTACATTCCAAGTAGGGCTTCATCAGAAAAAACTGTGTCAGACACAGATGGATCAGCCAAGACCCCCTACACAAAGAACAACTCCAAAAGGATCTACATACCCCCTGTGAAAACCAGCAAAAACTCCTCAGGCTCTGTAGAAGTTGGTAAGGATATCTCAGCAATTTTCATTGTTTTTTACACAGTTGCGTACAAGATGAAATACTATGTATTCTAATGTGCATGGTCTGTTCAATGTTTTTGTGTTTTTTAGTTGCAGCAAGAACTAGTCCTACATCACCTAGCTATTCAGAAGAACCAATCACAAGTTCAGAGTCTCTCCACAGCAGAAGAAGAAAGTAAGAAAGATTTTCAAACTTAAACATTTTTTCACCGACACTCGTAAGAAAAATTACTTCGATATGTTTCAATTTGGCCGGTGGATATTTACAGTTTTTTATTGATTTTCAGGCCTCTGATGGGAGAGACCAGGAAGATAAACGTAGAGAGGAACTCCCAGACGGTGGGGTTTTCTATAGGGAGTGGTCCTCAGGGGGGCGTGTTTGTCTCCTCCGTACAGGAAGACAGTCTGGCCATGGAGGCAGGGCTAGTGATCGGAGACCAACTCCTAGAGGTAAAATATCCCAAAAATATTCATTGTCATTTTAAAGTAATTCTGTAAATGTACATTTTTCCAGGGTGTCATAATTCCACAGAATCACAATTTTTGGTTTTTTTTTATATCCATGGTATTGAAGATTCAGATGTTCAGTAGATAGCTTTAGTTCAACTATATACAAGGTTGGAGTGAAGGATATAGTTTAAATGAATAAGTAAAAACTAAGTTTTAAATTAATTTTATTATCTGTCAGATTTGTGGAATAAACATGAGAACAGCCACAGAAGATATGGCAGCTAAATTCTTACGACAAACTGGGAACACCCTTAGTCTATTGGTCCAGTTTAATCCTGATGGTATGTTCAATCAATGTATCCCTTCTTAGCAATAATCTGTACAAATCTTTGTTGGTTTATGATATTTTTCTCTTTCGTAGTGGCCAGTTTATAAATGTGTAATTTGTATTGTTATTTTTTACAGAGTATAACAACAGAGGTGCTGACTCTTCAGGGGAGAGCACTGGGACTTCTCCAATGAATTCTCCAGTGTCAGACACATTTAGACCAAGCAGAAAAATTAGTTCAAAGTCCAGCACTCACATCAGAATACCCAGGTAGGTCTTTAGTAACTAAACAAAATGGGGAGAAGTGACTTTTGGTCTTGTTATTTTTTCTATTTAATTTCTAACTCTTTTGAATGAAACCTTAGTAGTTTTATGTGTGTTTGAATTGAATTTTTCACAAACATTGAATTATATAAAATTTTAGGGATGTCAACGAATATTCGAATATTCGAATATTCATTCGTTTAGTTGATATTCGAATATAAAGTTATGATTCGAATATTCGGATTTTAAGTATACAAGCATCAAAAAGAAAAAAAACTTGGCAAAAACTGAAGTTTTATCAGAAATTGAATCAAATTCTTATCGTTGACCAACAATAAGATTTTATTTAAAACAAAAATAAAAGAACTCTTCTTGGATTACCTTAAAGGTGTGAAGAGTGTATCTATTAAAAGGATAAAAATTATTCATTTGATCATTTAATTAGAGGTATAACTGTGTCCAGTACTTAGAATTAGTTTGTATTGTTGAAAGGACACATTTTTTAAGTAACACACATGGATCTCTTGTTTATGTATACATCATTTAAAATCATTATCAGGAAATTAATTAGCCTAGAGTAATTGCTTTTAATGTTTCTCCATTAGATAATTGTTCTGTGTGGTATAAATCTGTAGGGTTATCAGTGTACACTTTGGTAAGATGATTAATTAATCTGGAACTTATTAAAAGAATCTTTTGAATATTTGGGGGGAAATTTTTTTATATTATATTTTGGATGTAAACTCTTCATATATTCTGTAAAATATTTTAAGAATATACATGTAATTATAGTGCATTTACAAAACTCTACATGAAATTTAAAATAATGACATAAAACATATATTGCTTTACAAAAGAGTGAAGATGTATACATATTATAATGCAAGATGTATTTATTTTATCGAATATTCGAATATATTCGAATACTACTATCGAATATTCGAATATCAATTACTGACAATTTTGACATCCCTAAAATAAATGCATTGATTTATGATATTTATTTTTGTAGCTCTGATTTGCCGTCTGAACCATCCAGATACATTACAGCAAGGAAATCATTACCCAATGAGAACTTGGGTATTTCCATTATTGGTCAAGCCAACTTTGGAATATTTGTCAAAGAAGTCCTACCCAACAGCTGTGTGTTTGGACACGAGGGACTGAGGTGTGGAGACCAAATCCTGGAGGTGAGAGGATAACAAAACTCACTGCAGTATCTGTAAATATTTTATTTTTGTAAAAGGGATTGGATACACAAACTGCTATGAATGGAAAGTTATTGTACCATATTTTCCCTTTTTTGCAGTACAACAATTTGGATTTTTTAACAATTACCCTGGAAAAGGCTTCAACAGAACTGAACAAACCCTGTGCTTTTGTTAGAATGCAAGCACAGTATAATCCTGCAAGTGAGTATTAATTGAGGGAAGAATAAAAATGTACTTTTTAATACAAAAGGTTTTAAAAAAAAAAGGAAACTTTATTTACAAAAAGCTTCTTGGTGTTCACACAAACATCTCAACAATGAAAGATATTTATAAGAAAGTAAGGTGTCGGAAAAATTTAGTATTGGATCTACAGAATGAACACAGTTTTGTTTAATTTTGTAGAATACAGGCAGTTGTGTAACCAGTTTAGCAGCGAGTCTTTTTATGTGAAGGCTCACTTTGACCACAAGCCGACTGGAGAGGGTGAGCTGGGCTTCAGGAGGGACGACATCATGCTGATCGAGAACACGCTGTACGACGGGAAACCCGACAACTGGTTTGCCTGGTTAGTGGATGATGACGGCCATAAACTGAAATGTAAAGGAATCATTCCAAGTCAGGACAAGTAAGCACTGCTTTATTGGAGATTAATTTAATATTTTTGACATGTAGCATATAAATACTTTTGGCATCGAATTTAAAAATGTTTTCATTTACCAAGGTGGTGATCTACTCTCCTCTTTTCAAGTGAAAAGATTAGAGGAGGAGAGAAGATGGTCACCCTTGGCTAGTGAAGATGATTTTACTAGCATTTCATGAAGGAAGTTAATGCGTTATTCTGTAAAAAACTAGTTTGTTTAGTATATATATTTTGTACTTGTCATTGTTTCCTTAGTTGTAATAAAACCTTATCTTTATTAGGCTAGAGATGGAGCTGAGGCGGAGCTATTCAGAGAGCCATAGTCTCCATGATTCGGAGGAAATCCGCGGATCTACCAGACGGATGTCCGGATCAGCCCGGAGTAGTTTCTTCAGAAGGAAGGCCAAGCACAAGAGGAATAACTCCAAAGACAGTCGTGAATTCAATTCATTCTCGGAGACGTCACTCACCAGCGATTCTGTGCCCGTCCTTGAAGGTAGGAAGAGACCCAATCAGTTTTAATACTTCTTCTCCGTTCATACAGATCCCATGTATTAAGTTTGTGGAATTTTTTATGTGTGCAATAATTTGTTTACTTTATGGAAAAATAGATTTAAGTCTCTCCATCCCTTTTGTTTTATAGATCTGGCATTTAACAAATACACAAAGGTGGAGAGGATGGAATGTGAGTACATTTTAAAACTTTGTATTCTCTTTTAAAATAAAGTAATGTTTGGATTTCGGAAAGTGATACTTCATTAATAGAGAATGTTATCATCAGTGGAAAAAGCCCAAGATTCTATTACTTAAGGTCTTTTCACCCTCACAGTTTTAATGGTTTAAAGTATAAAAATTTTATATATTTATCTTTAATAAAGTTTAAATTTACCAATTATTGCCAACAATGTGTAGGTCGCCATCTTATTTAAGATGGGAGACGTAAATAAACAGAAGAATATGTCAGCATAATAAATCATACATTTTTTGTAAACAGTATGATCATAAATATGTAAAAACTGATTCAGATGCATAATTCTGATGCTGAAAGTTCCTAAATACTTGCTACTTATAAGATACTTTTGAATTGTAAATATCAGGGAAACTATTTACACTAGAAGTACAATATAGAAAATGTTTGAATGAAGATACCAGAGCAGGAGTTATTGCCCTTGTCAACATTTTTAAAGATTGAATTTTTGATTAAATAAAGAAAATATGCATTTTTAAAATTCTTTTACTTAACAATATTTATCATTACACCAATGGATAATCATTCTTCAAAAATATATTGTTCTGTTTGATATGAATTTAATTTAATAACATTTTTTGCAAAAACCTGTGACATCATAGGAGGGTGGAATTACCCAAAATTCTATTACTTATTAAATGTATGTATCTAACTTAATTTGAGTATTTACGTGCCTCATTATGATTTGCCACAGATAAGGATACCAGACCAGTGATTCTGTTAGCTCCATTGGCCGATTCCCTCATTAAGAAACTGGTGGCTGAGTCTCCAGACAAGTACAGCACTGGGCAGCCAGGTAAGATGTAAAAAACTACTGAAGCCATTTATTTACCTATATTCAAATAAATAAATTAACATTAAAAAAATGTGTTTTTCACCTATAATGTAATAAGCTTAGGTAAACCTTGAGCCATTCCAACTCTGAAAATCCTTCAGATTTTAGCATGGTACAGAAATCATTTTGAACTTTGCTTGCATGTTCATGTATCTAATATGTATGTAATTTATCTCTGTTTCCTGCAGCTGTTATGCCGCAGACTAAGCCGGTGATGGAACAAGGTCTGGCAGATGGTATTTATATCGACTACTGGCAGGAAGAGGACAAGTTCCAGTGTATCAGAACCGCGGCCATCAAAGAAATCTGTGATCAGGTCTGTTGACACAGGAATACCCACTGTCTGACATATATGTCTGTGTAAATCTCTGGACTTAAAGATTTAGGAGGAGTGGTTATTGGATAGATTTATTCACAAAAAGATTTCTGAATATGTTGAAATTTTACTAAAATAATGAGCCTGACATTTTTTGTATAGGGTAAGCACTGTCTGTTGAACATCAGTCCTTCAGCCATTGAACGTCTCCATAGATTACAGATCTACCCCATTGTTGTGTTCGCCAGACACAGATCACATAAACAGCTTAGGTAAGGAGGTTCTGATATACAATATTAGGTCTTTTCTACATGTACAGAATAAATCTTGGATGTATAAATTCTCATTTTGTCCATTGAATGAGCATGCAGATTATTATGTGGAAAGTTGGTCAGTGTAAACAATATTTTTGTGTGACATGAAGAAAGCTGACCAAATTTAACTTACTTTGAGTATTTACAAACGTTTGAGGATTCCATTTTACTGAGTGATCATGATTTTACTTTACAGGGAGATCACTGATCCCCAATTCCATTCCCAGAAACTCAGCGCTAAATCGGCCAAGGATCTGTATGATAAATTCCAGAGACTAGAGAAGGATTATCAGCACCAGTTCTCAGGTAGGCCAGAAAATCTAGAAAAAAATCATTGAAGCTTTGATATATGGAGTACATGTCTGGAAGAATCTTATTAAAGTCATTGCAGAATTGCTATTATATTCATGAAAAAATTGTGCATGTATATTGCAAATGATGCATTTTTATGTTGAAAACTAAGTTATGTGTATGTTTGTTTTGCAGCTATAATTCAAGGTGGCAATTTGGCAGAAATGCACCAGCAAGTTAAGACTGTGATAGCAAATGAACAGAAAAAGGCCATCTGGGTTCCCGTTTGTCCCCGAGTGTGAAAGGGGGCATCTACAGGTCAACATAGATCTGTCTGTAAACCTTAAACCAAGGAACTGTTTTGTCTGAGAGTGTCATCAGACATGTTCAGAAGATTCAGATTCATTCATTATGTTGTACTTATGTGAGGTCTGTTAATATTCTAGTCTTTAACAATACAAGGATTTTTACCAAATAACACTTACATACTATATTGTATGGCTGTCTCATAGGAGAAGGAGCAAAGAACTTGATTGGATTCAGCAGTGTGCAAGTCTTTGTTTAGTATATAATTATTATTTTTCATTCCTTTTCATGTTTTTAAGGATCATGATGAAAATTGTCCATAAATATTTACGTCTTGTTTAATTCTGTGATAACTGATGTCTACGGACACACTTTGGTGTTGTGACCTAGTTTCTGTATTTAGTGGTGCATGAGCAAAAATAGTGCATTATTAATAAGAAATTTTGCTGTGTTTCTTAAAAGATTTTTTTTATTCATTTTTTTAAGTGTAGCTTTGGAAGATTTATTTTTTTGTTCTGCTTTTATTAATATGTTGGCATTGACACAAACCCATCTCGGGTTCATGGCAACCTGCTGTAAAAAGTGTTTATAGTAATAATCCATTCCAGTCCTTGATAACAATAACTAAGACCAAAACAAAAGCTAAATCAAATTTAAATTTTCAATAGAAAAAAAAATAAATATATGTTGAAAACAGGTCATAGCTGAACAAAACTATTATTCCTAGAATTAGTTTCATGAATTTGGTTTTTGTGTAAATTGGGTAGGGAGAGGAATAATTATTGGGGGCTTTATGAAGTTCTTGGTCATACATACACATTTTATCATGAATTTTACACAGTATAACTGTTCATACTTTGATCTCAAACAGCAGGCGGCTAGTGGGTCAGAATTAGCTTCCTTTATTTTAAATGTTAAATGTTGTGTGCAGTTTTCTCTGAGGCATTCAGTTTATTTTAGTTGTGAAGATCTTTTATTATTTTATTTGATGTAAATTATCAGCAAAAATAGTTGGTATGAGAAGAAATGGGTGAAGTCACTATGATTTTTTTTTTGCATAATTTGTTATATTTCAGTATAGATTTACATAAAATTATTTGACAGTGTTTTATAAATGTATTTAATGTAACAAAGTTGTGATCTAATTTCAGATTTTATCTACTGGTTTTGTAGATATTTTGTTTTTATTAGGCACATCTTTTTTCAGATTCAGAATTGCTTACTTGTTTGTTATTTTTTTTTCGGTAGTTTGCTTATTTTCGTAAACAGTGAAGTCAGCAATTCATAGAATAGCAAGGGCATAGATACCTGGGTAAAAAGATGGTAAATAACTTTATGTACATTCAAATTCCTGTTATAGTTAATCAGGGACATTGCACTATAGAAAATGAGAAATAAAAATTGGGAAATGCAGTGTGTTTTTGTTGTAGTTTAGAGGAAAATAGTTTGTCTTAGATTAGGGGCTACTAATAAAAAATTAAACGATTTAGTCCAACAGACAGGCATTGGGAAAAAAAAGACTTAATTTATTAAATCCATTGTCATAAGCAATAGGCAGATGATTCTTACCCTGTGTGTAATCTTAAATTACGGACCATAACTTTGTGTACATTTTGACATGTATATAGAAACAAGAGGCCCATGTGCCTTATAGGTCACCTGAGCACCATAAAACAACTTTCTAACCATTGAATTTGGTTCATGTTTTAAATTGGAGACCATGAAATTCACAATTTTGAAAGAGGCACCAGTGCTCATTATAACTACACACTTAACATGCTTAGTTTGGTTACTTAATACCCATAGGCAGAGTAGGGGAACAAAAATGCATTTCAACTAATCAGTATTATTCAACAGTAATCAGTAATGCCCCAATCCCACAGGAACACCTGACCCTGGAGCCACACATTTCACAATTTTGGAAAAGGCATCTTCGCTCATCATAAACTTTTTATTAATACCAAGGATGTACTTTGTATGTTTAGTACCCAGGAGCAGAGATTTTCAAATAATTAATGCATTTTCACAATATAATCAATAGAGCCCCACCCTAACACCAGAACCACTGACCCTTGTACCATGAAGTACTCAGGTGACCTACTGATATGTGTTTTTGTCCTTTGTCGTATGTAAACTTTTGAACAATTTTTGCTTCTTTTCTGGAACCACTCAACCAGTTTCAACCAAATTTGGCATTTATCATCTAGGGGTGAAGTGGAGTAAAAATTGTGAAAATCATGACCCCCAGGGCCTGAGGGGTGGGGTTAAAACCATCAAAATTAATGCTTCCTTTAAAAAATCTTTTACTCCTGGACATGAATTAGTAAAACTGTTGGCATTGTAATAAGCATTGAGCTTTCTACCAAATTTTGAAATTCATGGCCCCTGGGTCGGGAGTTCTGGGGCTAGGGCTCTTATGATGATATAGTGAAGATAGATTAATTCTTTAAAAATCTTCTCTGCTCCTGGGTATTTAGCCAATGAACTAAGTTCATACAGTGTAGTTATGATAAAAAAGAATTGTGAATTTCATGGCCCCTGGGCCAGGGATTCTGGATTTAGGGCAGGGCTCTTATGGTTAAATAGTGAAAATACATTAATTCTTTGAAAATCTCCTCTGCTCCTGGATATTAATAGGTGAATGAAATACATAGTAATGATAAAGAAGAGTGCCTTTTCCAAAAATGTGAAGTTCATGGCCCCAGTGTAAGGGGTTCTGGTGTAAGGACGAGTGTGATTTTTATGTCTCACTTATATGATACTCAAGAGCATGCACCAAGAATCATTAGTTTTGGGACCGAGACAGGCTCCAAAAAGAAAACTTGATGTCAAAGAGATTTCAACAACCTCCTTTAAAGTTATCATTTCGTAAGTTCTATCACCGTAATAATGACCACCTCATCCTACCTCTGAAATTTCTTAAGGTTCGTGCAAATATACAAGACAGGCGCGTAGCTGCCTATACGCAAGTGCGTACACATCATTAAAAAAAAAAGAAAAAAAGAAAGAGATTTATTCGGAGAAAAAGAGACACAGCCACTATACATGTTTCAAATTATTTTGCGTCTCATTTCGAATTTTGATTAGCATGTCTGTACTTTTATAACATTGGCGTCGGAAGCAAATTGAAAGTAGGGGGGGGGGGCTAAGTGTAATAAAAAAATTTTTGTACCTTAAAAAAAAAACTGACAAGCAAAAAAAAAAAAAAGGGAAATGCCCATTTCCCAAACACGAAAATCCTATTTCGTGGGGGGAGGGGGGGGGGGGGTGTAGGTTCGAACTTCAGTACCAAAATTTTTTTCCACTCACCACCACTTTCCCCATTTCTAACCTGTGGAAAGTCGGGGAGCTAAACCTACGAAGATATGTTCAATATCTATACTAAGTATATATTTGGAAAAAAAGAGAGGGGCTAAGCCCCCCCCTTGCCTCCCCCCGGTTCCGACGCCTGTGTATAAAATCAATTCCAAAAACATCTTCCAAAATTCTTGAGGAAGAACATATTGTTGAACCAAAATGTCAACTGTTAATCCGCGTAATCCTGATTATTCGGACAAATATTTGATGAAGGAAAGCGATCTGAAGGACAATGATCTAAAGAAAAAGTTTCATGGGTCTTAAGCTTGGACGGCTATACAAGATTTTTAATTTGCATTCTCACATTGTTTAAGCTATCAGAATATAAAGGTAACCAAAAGACAACCCCCCCCATAACCCCGTTTAAATTTTGAATTATTTAAACTCCAGTGATAACGATATTGAAATTACTTCTCTGTTTTATCTTGACACACTAACTTGGAAACTTTTTCCAATACCAATATATCCGTAAATTAATTTGATTAAATTATCGTTCTCTTCCTGAAGTTGTCACCCGCGTGGCGCAGTGGTAAGAGCGTGCGTATGCTATAGAGTCGCGATGTAAGGAGTCAATCCTTACGCCGCGGGTTCGAATCCCACTGTGGGACGTGGAGACCGGTCCTTCGGATGAGACCGTATAAACCGAGGTCCCGTGTCGCAGTAGGTGCTGGCACGAAAAAGAACCCTCCCTGCTCAATGGCCCAGAGTGCCGAGTATAGGTCAAATTTTGAAGCTTTCCACCGGCAAGTGGTGGTGTCTCCATATGAGTGAAAACTTCTCGAGAGGGACGGTAAACAATATACAATCAATCAATCAATCTCTTCCTGAAGTATCCATGGAAGCATGCATTAACTTACCTAAGTATTTGCTCGAGAAAAGAGATGTAGCGCACAGGCACCTGACGTTACTTATTTTTCTTTTAATTTAAAAAAAATTATTAAAAGAAAAATAAGTAACTTCAGGTAACTTCAGGTACCTGTGATGTAGCGTGATTTCTTTTGCGGGAAAATGACTGAAAAATTTCGTAATATCCAGGTCTGGAGCTTCCGGGGGCCCCTAACAACAGGGATTCGCCCTGGACCCACTGGGGGCCTCAGGGCGGCCCCCAGACCCCCGACTGTTTACACTTCATTGACCGTACACTTCATTTCGATGTTGACTACGCGCCTGCAAGACACCCCCTTCCCCCAACTATATGAAAAAAAAAATCAGATGACTATTGTGAATATTTATGAGGAATTCTAGGAACCATAATCATCTAGAATAAAAAAATTTAAGTTAATTATTAATTTTATTTCTACATTTAACAAAGAATTAGATTACATTGTACCGGTAATTCTATTAACAAAAATTAAGAAAATCAAAAAGAGTATATATTTAAACAGCAATTTACTTTAAAAGGGAATTAGGACTTTTTAATATTCCTTTTAAGAAGTTTTACCATAAAAATATTTTATTCAAAAGATCAGTTTACCTTTCTTAAATAATGTTTATGAGATCAAGGGGGGGGGGGGGGGGGGTATAATATCATTGTAATTGAAAAGTACAATGTAATTGTAAATTACATTAATTTATATACAATGTAACTTTCAATTACTAGTACATCGAAATTTGTAATTAATTACAATAAATAATTTACCATTACAAATTACCATTACCCCTTCCCTGTCTTTAACCCCATTTGAACCCAAGGTTCTGCTCATGCCCCCCCCCCCCCCCAAAAAAAATCATCTGGCAATGCAAACAAAAAAAAAAATGAAATGGCTACTGCGTAAAATATATGAGTTCTGGAAATCATGATTTTATAAATGAAGACTTTTTTGACACCGAAGTAACTCCGGGGTTGAAAAAAATTCCAAAACCAAAATGCACTTCAGGACAAACCGAGCATCTTGAAAAAGATGTCATGACTTGCTTGTTAATGAAAGAGGACTTCTGGAAACCAGAACTTACGACAAAGACCAAAAACTTCGATTTATCGTAAGTTTTGCAAAATAAATTTTCTGTTTAAAATAGCCAGTGTTAAAATATCTTAACTACATTCCCTTCAAAAACATAATAACCAATTGTTTTAAATTCGAAAGTTATACACTGAATTTAATTTGGGTTTTTTGTATAATGGGCCCTTGCCATGGTTTCTGTATAATGAAAAGCGTGACATTTTCCCAGGTTTTTAAAATTAGCAAAAAAAAATACTCATAAAAGTAACTGAATCCACAAAGTTAACCATATTATTGAAAATTGTTAAATCTCCTATATTTTTGCAGAAAAAGCGAATTCGAATATTAGCAATGCATTTTCTAATTGCAAATTGATCAACAAATATATTTTAGGTTAAAAAATGATACAATTAGGTATCAAGGCATTCAGAGAATTTGTCATGATTTTTATACTTATTTGGTATTTTTTATATTCTATTTCCATTACATATTCTAGAATACATAGTGTAAAAGGCCTTTGCTATCATTGCCAGACACCACAAATCACTTCACATTTCATATCATGCTAATAATGAAAAGCTGTATTAATTTTTTCTCCTTTTATGTACAAATGTCAACTTTTATAAGAAAAGACTTCAAAAGACATTGAATCTAATAAAGATGAATAAAATGAAAATTGTTGCATAAAAAAATTTCATTTTCCTTATTTTGATGCATTTCATCCTAGCTGAGGGGGAAACCTTATTGCACATCTAAGGGGGCACCATACATTACCTTATGAATTACTAGATGTTTGTAATAGCGTCGTTTTTAGAGCCCTATGTGATCCAAAGGATTTAAATTTGAAACGCTTAAACATCTACAGGAAGCCATTAATCATATTCCAAAGGTGATTTGGCTATAAAATATAACTGTTTAATAGAAACTGAGAGAGGACTAAGCTGGATTTAGAAGAGGAAGGGGATGGATAGCCCAAATTTTTGACATTCGTAACATTATTTAACAGTGTATAGGATGGCAAATGCCACTGTATATCAATTTTATTGATTTTAAGAAAGCTTTTGACAGTGTGTGCACAGGGAAACACTTTGGAAAATAGTAAGATCATATTGAATA